ATAGGAAACAAATATCAATAACCATTCCTTCAATAACTGCAGCGTATTCATTAGATACCATGCCTATAGGATTATACTAGCTTATGTTCTATTGATCTTCATCCAGAAATCACGCCTATAGGACTTTAATTGGTTAATTTTCTAGTGTTATCATACTGCTCACCTAGAAAACATGCCTATAGGGGGTAAGTATAAAAAATCAGTTTCAATCGTTAATCGTTAGAAATCCTACCTATGGGGTATTACCACTCGCGTTAAAGTGTCAATACCGAACTTTCAAACAGTGTTTCATTGCTTAGCCATGCCATTATTAGAGAGCATGCCCGTAGAATCAAACACGAGTAATTTTGAATATTTCTGATGGTTCTTACTACCCCCTACTGCGTAAATCACCTAGAGATCATGTCTATAAGCTTAAAGCGGTGTCTTGCATCTGAAACTGCCTGCACGTTTGAATCCAAGGTCATATACAAACCATGTCTATAGGGCTTAAATGGCTTTAATTTGTCTCAGTTCTGAAACTGTCTAACGCCTAATGTGAGAACCTGTTTTGCGTGCATTTGTTGTTTAAGTGTAGAGGCTAACTTGAGCCCCCTAACTGTCCTTACATGAACTCCAACTTGTTTTGTATGTCGACTAGTTTCATCATTTTGAGCAGCCTAAGTAAAGTCTAGAACCAACCTTAAATAGAGGTCCAATGCCTCCTGGACCATAGGTACGGGACGTGCAGTGCAGGCATATGGCATGACTTAGAATTAAATTAGAGCGCTTAAGTAAACAACTTTAACATAGTAATCTGTTAGCTGGAGATGATAGTCTGTGCCCGCTGAATAATATGAGTAATTCAATACCTCAAGGGAGTTGTGAAGTATTATTTATGTTGCACGGGATGATCCTTTAGGCTAAAAAACTTAGGACCCCTCCCCTCCCCCCTCCCCATTCTCTTCTTTATACTTTTAGCCGTCTAATATAGACCGTCATAGTTATATCCTTGTAATCCTTATTTCTTGTGTTATAATAAATTTCTTTGACCCTTATTCTCTTTGTTTATGTTGCCTAATTATAATCCACATAATCTTAAGTTCGGTCGGGACCCACAATTGTGGACCTCGAAGAGTGTCTAATACCTTCTCTTTGAGGTAATTTGAGCCCTTACCCAATCTTTGGTGGCGTTGACTAGTCAAACAGAGTTATCTATATAATAGGTGCCTTAACGCACCTTAAAACCCATTAGGTGGCGACTCTTCTTCTTTTAGCACTCTTTCTCCCATCCAAAAGAGTTGTCACAACGTCGAAACCCGCTTTCGCGAGAAAACGGGGCGCGACACACATAACACGTATATTCAGGGTTTATACCCTCAACTCCAAGATTAGAAGAGTTACTTACCTTGAACAAGCCAATACCAATGCCGAGCAAGCCAAACGATGCACCAAAGATGCCATCCCGCACATTCCGACCTCCGAACGGCCCGAAACTGACCAAAAATAACTCAAGTACATCAAGCAATGCTAAAGGAATCAATCCCGATCGAAAAAGATCAAATCTTGAATCAAAAGCCCAAAACCGGCCAAAAGCCTAACCCGAGCCCGCACCTCGGAACCCGACAAAATTTATAAAATCCACAACCCATTCAAATACGAGTCCAACCATACTAGTTTCACTCAAATCCGACTCCAATTCGATGTTCAAAACTCAAAAATTCACATTATGAAACTTTAGGCCAAAACCCCCAATTTCCTCTTTAAAATTCACAATTCAATTACCAAAAATGAAGATAGATTAAGGAAATATAACAAAAACCGAGTAAAGAACATTTAACCCAGTCCACAAGATGAAAATTGCTCCAAGAATCACCTCAATCCGAGCTTGGAAGTGCTAAAATGAAGCCAAAATCGCGAACCCTTGTATTTATCATTCTGCCCAGCACTTTCGCACCTGCGGCACATTAGCCGCTTCTGCAGCGTCGTATTTGCGACCAAAACACGCTTCTGCTGAGAAGCACTGGAGGTCTTCCTTCTCACCTGCGGTGAAAACTCCGCTGCTGCGCACACGCAGGTGCGAGTCCAATTTGCGCTCATGCGCTTAAGTTCGCTCATGCGCCTCTCGCACCGCATCTGCGCCTTCGCAGATGCAAATAAATTCTCTGCTTCTGCGGACTCCTGCTCCCAGCAACACCTTCGCTCTTGCGACTCCTTTGTCGCTTCTGCGACCATCACACCTACGCAAAACTAGCTGCAGGTGCGATCACACCAGAACCAGCAGCCTTCAGCAATGCACTATGCAACGAAAGTGATCTGAACCTCGTCCAAAACTCATCTGAGCCACTCGGGACCCCATCCGAATATATCAACAAGTCCAATAATATAACACGGACCTACTCAAGGCCTCAAATCACACATAACAATATCAAAACGATGAATCATACCTCAACTCGAAATCGATGTACTTTGAAACTTCAAACTTCCACAATCGATGCCGAAACCTATCAAATCACGTCCGATTGACCTCAAATTTTGCACATAAGTCACATTCGATATTACGGACCTGCTCCAACTTCCGGAATTGGAATCTGACCCCGATATCAAAAAGTCTACTCCTGGTCAAACTTTTCCAAAATTTCAACTTTCGCCATTTCGAGCCAAATTCAACCACGAGCCTCCAAATCACAATCCGGACACGCTCCTAAATCCAAAATCACCCAACGAAGCTAACAGAACTATCAAAATCCCAATCCGAGGTCAAATGCTAAAAAGTCAAACTTGGTCAACTCTTTCAAATTTAAAGCTCCTTAGTTGAGAATCATTTTTTCATATTAGTCCCGAATAACCTGAAAACCAAAACTGACGATTCACACAAATCAAAATACATCATAGGGAGCTACTCACGCCCGTAAAATACCGAGCGAAGTGCAAATGCTCAAAATGACTGGTTGGGTCATTATAAATCGCCAATTTTAAAAATAATTAATAATTATTTTCAAGAATACCGACCGAATTCGGTCGGTAAGTTTATGTTGTATCAGAATATTTGGTCAAAGTGCGTTGAAAATTACCGACCGACTTCGGTCGAAAATATTGACCGTGTGCGGTCGATAGCCGTTAGCGACCATTATTTTTTCGACTAATTGAAAATGGTCGAAAATCGGTCGATTTTTGTTCGATTCCGACCGATTTCGGTCGGATTTTCTGGACGCTTTTTGACAGTTTTTTAGTAGTGTGTGCTTCTGCTGTCGGTATATTTCTAAATATTGCCTTAAATATGCCTTCTGCCTTAGTAGGGGCGGCTCAACCACACGAGGGGCCGAAAGCCAAAATTTAATTTAGGACTTAAACTTTTAAAAAAATAACTAATTTATTTGAAGTCTATTTTTTTTAGCTTTGTAAGATGCAAAGTTATTTTTTATTACAATTGATTTCTTGTAATTATTCTTTTTCAGTTGATAATATAGCGAATTCGTTTAATATTTCTTGAGACATTGTTGATCTTAGGTAAGTTTAAATTATTTAACACTTTTAATTCAGAAAGTAAGTCTAAATCGTTAATATTAGATTGACTATTATATTTTAAGAAATATTGAATAATATAAGCTTCAAATTGTTTAAATGTATTGTGAAGTGAACTTAGCTTGGTCTACTGCATATAAGAAGCAATCAACTTTACAAGAAACTTTGTGATTATCGATATTCTTATCAATTTTTTTCTTTCTATAAATTACACCATTATCATTAAATTCGATTTCTACATTTTAGTGGTGAAAAATATTTTTTTTTATTGAGCAATATAATTAGTAATAAGAACCTTAAAACATAATAAATGAGAAAGAAACTTAATTTACTTACGATGGTGTCTGCACTCCCTATCTTACACTGTTAATGATAAAATTCATGTCTAAAGGTTCTATACATCTAAAACTTTTTATGTTTATATTTTTTTTAAATTCATCTTCTCAATATTTAGGGGAAACAAAAATATACCCTTGTAACTTATTTTTGCTAAAAATGGGTGCCCCAAATTTGGGGGTCTAAAGCAGTGGCCTAACTGGCTTCACCTTAAAGCCGGCCTTGACCTTAGTGAAGCTATCTAGTCAAACATGCACAAACCCATGGTTGTCTGTGGGTTATATATTATGATTATCCATGGTTGAGTGTTCATTTGATTGTGTAAATATTTTATAAACCGTTAAAAGTAAATGAACTAACAATACACTTCCCAATTCCATATATTTTTAGATTCTAAAGGCTGATAATATCTCCCAACCACTCAATGGATAGTCGCTATGGCCTATGGGGTTCCATTAGATTCTCCACAACAATAGTCAAATATTTTTATAATAGTTTTGTTGTTCTGAATATTTTTTATTATTATATTGAAGTATTGTTATAGAAAATATATATAACAATATAACATGAAAGATTGGTTTTAAAGAAAATTTAACTGTTATAATGAAATATTGATATAAAAGATAACTTTTACGGGGAGGTAGTGTTTGGGTAAACGAAGTGGACGGTGCAAAGTGATTGTAATCTATAAAGAGAAAGGCATATCTATATCTTCCATTATACCGTATTCTACTTTTTGAAGTTTGCTACTTGCTATATAATTGTTTGCATGTCCAACATTTTTCACGTTATTTTATCCTTTGAATTGCACCTTTATTAGGCACACTCCACTTCTCCACCTGTCAGCTAACTTTAGCTCTCATCTCTATTCTCCACCAATCGGTAGTTTTATACTTTTGTTTAATCTTTTGCTTTTTCTCCACACATGGAGAGTGAATAGGTCTCCTTGTCTTTAGTAACAATTTGCTAAGAGGGAGGACCCTCCAGATTTGTCGTTTCTTTATTATGGTGAGAAAGTCTTGGCTTCCACTGTCAATATATCTTGGACTCTGAGACTCAAAAGAAATGCAAAAAGAAGAGAAAGAAGCACAAAAAGATGTGGAGAAAGAAGAGAAAGAAGTATTTGATAAAAACCAAGGATGGGATGATAGTGAAGGTGACTTCAAACCATTCTGTGTAGACTATTAGCCTTCACTGCATCTGATCTGAGTGGATGCGAAGAACTCACAGGCAAGTCATAAAGGCAAAGGGAAGGTGATGCCTTTCTTCCAGGTCTTTTCTTTTACTGTTTTTTCATGCCCCTTTTGCACTGTTCAGCTGGATTTGAAGTCCCATTTTATATGTAATGTATGTTAATGTTGTGTTAAAATACTCTTTAAACAGTGTGTCATGTTGCCTTACTGCGTTACTATAAAACTAGTGGCGCTTACAAATATTCCTGGAAACTGTCCAGGTTAAAACCAGTAACTTGAACAAATAGACGTTACACAGCTTCAATCACACAAGAATTCATTAATCTCCTGTACATACTTCTTTATTCAGTTATACTCGATACCATAAAGTTGCGGTTAGTTTATAAGTACACATAACATCCCAAAAAGGTTTACCAAACATAGCTAGAAACATTCTGAGGCTTGGATTGAGTGAGTCAAGCTCCTGACGGATTCAAGCAATTTTCATGGCACATTGCACCAGTCAAAAGTAGAGTATAAACGTCGTGTTTATCTTGCAATAGAGACTCAAAGCAAGTTACTCGACTTAATTTTATCCAAAGGAACAGCCATGCGCTTCAAATTCAAAACAGGGCATATTTCTAGCATTAAACATGAATACCAAAAACATAAAAGCACAAACAAACATGGAGTATCTTCTGAAAAATGTTAAAATCAAGATCAGGAAGAAGATTAAGTAATGTTAAAATCAAGATCAGGAAGAAGATTAAGTACTTCAAAATGTGGTAAGAGTAATATGATTGCCAAAGTATTCATCAAAGTCAGAACTCAAAACAAAAAAGTACTACCGAGCAAAGGAAAAGTTCTCTTAACCAACTCATTCTTCAAAAACCTAATTTATAATGTCACAGCTTAACCAGAACCTCTAGCAAATATCAACCCACGACCATCATAGCCTTCTCTTTAACCCTAAAAGAGCATCCCTCAGTAAGTTTTGTGCGTCCACCAGTTGGCTGGCAGAGCACTTGCTGGCAGTTGGGGCATGTAACCACGGTTTGCGAGTGGCTGAAAATTGTTGTTCTGTAAAAGTTGGATCGATTATTAGTACCTTACTACTACATGGAAACTTATAACACGAGGAATTTAACCGCTCTTTTTCAGGAACTTACATTTGGAAGCAGCCTGGACATTTAACATCCTGCAACGGTTGATCAAAAGTTACACAAGCAAGGACAAAGACAAAAGGCATAAATCATATATATAGATCACAATCAAATCCAAAATATCAGTGATTAATGGTAGATACCAGAAAAGTAGAATCAGGTGATGGGACCAAACGCTTAAGCTTGTGCTTTTGCTTCTCAAGCTCAGCAGGAGGGTGAAGCAAGTCAATGTCGTTTGATATCTTTGGAATACCCTAATTAAGGCCACAGGAAAAGAACATGAAACCACAATTGCCAAGTAACTCATGTCAAAGTCCAAAAGAAAGAGATTCAAGTGGTCACTCACCATTTTGTCTTGGAGCTTTTGTCACAGATGTTGCAAGTTGCTGTCAATCAATAGAAACAAAGAAACGTGAGATATTATCTCTTTACACATTCATAAAAGCACTTGCAATAGTAAATAAAGGAGGGCCACGGAATCAACAAATCATGTCTTCAAGAAACAAAACAGCATGAAAGACATAACTCATCAATCACCAAGTGTGATCAGGTCTTGAACTACTTGGAGTCGAATCTTTTCCAACCGTTTCCCTATGTTCTAGCCCATTCCATAATGAGATGGAACCCCTTCCAGAGGCGAATCCAGGATTTAAGGTCTATGCTCCGTGTTGAAAGTATTGGGATCAGATGAACCCAGTACTCAAACGATGCATGCTCCCCTGCCCGTTGCCCACTTGACACCGCCTAATGAAATTGTTAATTCTTCACAGTGTAACAAGACTCTATGAAACAGCCTCTTGTAGAAATGCAGGGTAAGGCTGCGTACAATAGAACTTTGTGGTCCGGCCCTTTTCCGGATCCCGCGCATAGCGGGAGCTTAGTGCACCTGGCTGTCATTTTTTCACAGTGTAAAAATGAATATAACTCTCTTTTGGTATGAATAGGTCACTGGTCTAGGCATGCACACTCGACTGCTAATGTAGGACATGTAAATGTGAGTATGTCCCAACGAATTCAATGCTCATAGGAATACAGACTTGAACTGGTTATATGAAGCTTATAGGCAGAACCAGTTGGTATTACTTGCAAAACTGATAGGAATAAACTTGAAGGCTTGGTTGGTATTACTTGTCCCTTGTAATTACTTTCACAGTTTCACTTCCCTAGGAATATAACCATTATAACTACTGCGAGTTAAATATGATGAATTTCCTTTGAAGGCTCAAGAGATGAGAGACCTTTTGTTGTGCAACTCATACCAAAAAAGCCTCCTTACATGGCAAGTTTTGCACATTAATTTAGTTCATGACCGAAGTTTCAGTACTCTTTTTCTCCCTCAAACAATTTATCACAAAATTATGGCCACTATACATATATTATGCTTAAACACTTAAAAGAATAAAACCTTAGGAATCAACTTCAATATATCCCTATTTTATTAATAATCACGCATGCAAACTATCAGATAGAGACACTCAAAGAGACAGAGAAAAAAGTACATGTGGATATATGTATACTGTGATGCATATGAGGTGAAAAAGTCATAAACAAACACCGATAAAATTAAATTAAAAAGATCAATTTTTATCCTCGATAATGACAATACGAATACAAACAACAATTGAAAAAAGATAGTATTTCATAGTTATCAGATTATCGAACAGGAACCTTATCAGATTATCGAACAGGAACCAAAACGAAAAGCATAATTCACTGATGATCAGAACCCAGGAGTTACCTGTAACCCCCAACGCGGAAACCCTAGCTCAGTAGCACTGTTCCTTCTTTGCCTCTCTAGTAGAAAAGACAATTTATAGCTTACCGGGCCTCTAAGCTATTTGTGTAAGAGATTTTTACCAATATTTAATTTTAACTTAATTACAAATTGATATACAATTTAACAATTATATATATTTTATTGACAAGTTAATATCCCTCAGTTATAGGGCTTTAATTGGCAATCAATCCTAAGCCTTCAGGTTTCTACCCACCCCACGGTACGTCTCTCAGCAATACACTGTATCCCAACCCCCAGCCCCACATAACCAATCACCAAAAATATATGGAATAACAAGTTTTGATCTTAAAGAGTCATGAATGAAGAGAAGTCATGAATGAAGAGAAGACATGAAAGTCCTACTATCAGTAACAAAAAATAACTAAGAACATAGTTGGCACAACTTTATTACTCTCTCATCGATAAAAATGGTCCAAAGTTTTGCATTATGTTGATTAATGAAGAGATTAAACCATTGGCACATGCATTGGGCATGGCACATATATTGATTAAACTGAGCATAAAAAATTTTATGCATTGATTAAACTAAGCATAAAGTTTTGAATTTAAACTCCATTGACAACCTTTAAGAAACTTCAAAGCTTTTAATTCGAAAATTGGGTTCGATTAAATCGTTATTTGTTTGGATCGGATGTTGTTGCAAATTATTGAGAATACTATTTGGAGTTTATATCTCAATTTTGAGGGAATTTGGTGAAGATTCGAGGTGGTCTTGGTTGGATTTTAAATTGAACCTTAAAAAATAAGACATAAGCAAATTGGGTATATTTTGTATGTGAGTGTAGAAACAGTCTACAAAATATCTACAACTTACATATTTATATACAAGTTGTATATAAAATATATGTAAATTGTAGTTTTTAACCAGATTCTGTGTAAAAAATATATATTTAAGTTGTAGATAAATTGTAGACTGTGACCAGATTTGTATATATTTTATAAAAGACCTTAGTTACTTTCTGTAAATATGAAAACTTAGATAAAATCGGGTAAATAAGTTTAAAATCTCGTATATATACGAAAAAGTCCATGTGTGTAACAATCCCATAATTTTTCGGCCCAACAATAATAAATATTGTAAATAACTTTTTTTTCCGAATAATACAATAAAAATATATAGCAAGTAAATCTTCTCAACAGATATATTTATTTACGAGTAAAAAGAATAAAGGGAAAGTTACACATTTGACCATCGGCTCAATATATAAAAATATTTACACTATATGTATAAAATATGAATATTGTATATATATATATATATATATATTACCGGCTATTATTTTCGAGAGATAGTTATATATTATAGTTTTCCCAACAAGAATAAAGCGTATGCAAGTCCAGTCTAATCCAAACAAGCTGTCAATATCTTGTAGCATTTGCTTCACAATTTAAGAAAAGTTTCATTTTTTTTAAAGACAAGAACGAGCTTCAATTAAATAAAATTAATTTTTACTTTCCTGGAGAAATTCTTCAGAATTTTTTTTCTTCCAAAAATGAAAAAACTTTGAGCAATTATTCACGATTTTGGAATACTAAAAAACTTCATTTAAGGTGTTTAGTTGAAAAACATTTTATAACAAACACAATGTCCCAACAAAAGAAATTGCTTTGAATGGCACGTGTTTTGCAGAGCTAGAATATGAAATAGGATTATTTTAGGTCTTAGAATCATACTAAATGATGGTAAGATTTAAACAAACAAAAAAAGAAACACTTTTTAGTTATTTTACACTTAAAGAACATGAGCCAAATTCAGTCTAGAAATGTTATAATAAAGTCTAAGTATAATAATGGAGCTTGAAAGACTAGTCACTTCTCTGAAGACCTTAAATCAACAAGGTAAAGTTCCAAAATAAAAGTAAAATATTATTCTTGGTAGGATTGTACATGGACCGGGTTGGTTCGGTTTTGAACCAACTATGTCGATTTGGATTGGTTCGTTTTGTCGGATTTTTCGATTTTTTTTTTATTATTTCAGTCTTACTTTGTTAAATTTTTTATAAGTAAATATATATTTACTAAAAATTAAAAAAATTGACAAATATATGATCTATTAAAATATTTTTTGGAAGAATTTTCTTAGTAACACATGATATTTATTTTTTAGTCGTCTAACAATAATTTTACATTAATGTATAATACTTTCAAGGTTAACCGAATTTAATAATTAAATATAAAAATAAATATGAACCTATATAATGATATGTTCTATTTAATTTTAAATTCGAAAAAAATATAGGAATTTAATAGATCTTGACATATAAATATGGAAGAACAAAGAGATAGACGCATTTCACTAACACTTGATAAGAAAGTGATCATACAACCCATTATTTAAAGTTAATAAATATGTAGCATTTCATATTTTAACTAAATATTACATTCCATAAGCGAATTGCAAATATTTCTAGACATTTTTTTAAAGAAAATTCTATAAAAAGTCTTAAAAGTATATATAAAAATTATAATTTTATATGTCGGTTTGGTTTGGGTATTTTTACTCAATACCAAACCAAATCAAATCAAATCAAACCTAATCAGATTTTTTAATCGGTTTGGTTTAACTTTCGATTTGGTGTGATTTTCCGGTTCGGTTTGTACACCCTTAATTCTTGGTATAAGTTACTCCTATTTCTTTAGTGCTATTTGTAGTTAACTTTTCTTGAATTCGTAACATAACATCTATATTGAGAATACATAGATTAAATACAAAAAAGGTCAATTAATTGGCAAAATAGTAGGATTGTAAGATCACTTCCGTTCACAATTAGATTGAGACGATTTTACAATAATATATCTTTGATTTCCAAACGCCTTAAATTTCAGTAACTTAAATCATCCAATGATGCAATTCCAAACGAATTCAGACTTTATCTTTCTCAAATAACTCCCTCCCAACTACTAAATGAAAAGTTACATCATATCGTATGAACATTAAGATTTACGCCGTGACAAAGAAAATCATATCAAGTTCCTGGCTGCACAATTTTTAGTTGTTAAATGATAGACATGTAGAACACGAAAAGACTAGTGTAGAAACAAATGTTGATGGAGAAGACTAGTAAAACTTTGCTTAAAGTCTCCAAAATTTTAAATCCCCAAATCTTTATAAAAAGAAAACTGCATATTTTTGAAAAATAGAAATATTTTAGAAATTGAAATTAAATTACTTTATTTTTCATATTAGTGAATAAAGTTTTTTGCAACAAGATAAAGATAACATATTGCAAACACATGATTAACAGTTTATTAACTTATAATATTAATATGTGAAGTTATATGCCTTATGTCTTGTAACAATAATTATAAAAAAAAGTATTTGAAGAAAAAAGAAGTGAACACTAATTTTGCATATGTGTGTGCATAAATATAAATCATGTTAAAAGAGTTTTAAGACTTCTTTTTGCAATTTGACTTTAGATCAGTAATTTTATTAAGTCGATGTTGCCTATATGATCAACAACACATCATTCCTACAAAAGGTACCATCTCATGTACACGTCTTCCACATAATTCAAATAGTACAATCAAACCCAATCCTAAGGGGGTATTTCCCCTACATAAAGTTAGGCAAGATACTTATGTCAAAGAAGTTAAATCAATACTCTAAGAAACCCTTCTCATGTGAAATAACCTCAGAACGGCTCGAATCTATCCAAAATAACTTAATATCATAAATAAAAACCATAGGACACAATTTCGGATAATAAAGTTTCGATCTTTAACGAAAATCAAAAAGTCAACCCCCGGGCCCACACCTCGAAACCCGATAAAACTTAAAAATTTCACACTCATTCCGATAAGAGTCCAATCATACCAAAAACCATTCAATTTTGACCTCAAATCAGCCTTCAAACCATCAATTTATTCTTTAGAAAGTTTTTACTAAAATCCTCAATTTTTCCAATTCAAATTATTAATCAAACACTAAAATCGAGGTTGGAATCATGAAATAATAACAAATCCAAGTCAAAAGTACTTACCCCAATCCAAGTAGTAAAAACCCTCTCCAAAATCGCTCAAAACCGAGCTCCAAAACCTTGTGAGAAAAAGTAACTAAATTCTGAAACAAGAAAAAATATACAGCAACTGTCCCAGCTCTATTCAAGTCCTAGATGATCTCGAAACTTACGTTTGATAATCCCAACACGATCCTTGCGAGATTCCACCTAAGATAGCCTCTTGAATCACCCGATTTGGTCTTAAAATGAGGGAGATATGATGTTTTGAAGTTTTAAAAGAAATCTGAAACATTCAATAGTATGCAAGATAAAAAAAATTAGCAATAAGAAAATTTTCGTTTTAGCACACAAAAATCTCGCGGACACAAACTATATATGCATTTCAATCATAAAATACATCATGAACCTAGTCGCGCACTCAAAACACCAAAAATAGATCATCTTGATCCGATATTGACCATGGTCAAACTTCAAATCCTTAACTTAACTAGTTTCTCAACCAATGTTCCAAAATACACCCGAGACCTTCGGGACCCCATCCAATTATACCAACAAGTATAAATACATCATACAAATTTATCCAAAACCTCAAAACACCCACGGAAATATCATAACAAAGAATCGAGGCTCTAACCGAATAAAATTTCTCTTAAGTAGTTAAATCTTCATTCTTTCAAAAGAGTGTCTGAATCACACTTAAACACTCCGGACTACTTTAAAATTTTGCAAACAAGTTCAATTCAACTATATAGACCTATCCAAAGTCTCGAAACACCAATTGAAGTCCAATAATATCAAAGTCAACTCTTTGGTCAAACTTATGAACTCTTAAGTTCTTCAAGTTGCCAACTTTCGACAAATAGTGACAAATTCTTCTAGCAACCTCCGAAACCAAATCCGAACATATGTACAAGTCCAAAATCATCATACGAACCTATCAAAATAATCAAAATCCGATTCCGAGTCCGTTTACCCAAAAATCAAATCTTGGTCAACTCTTCCAATTTAAAGCTTCTAAAATGAGAATCATTCTTCCAATCAATCACGAACCACTCGAAAACCGAAACCAACCATACACGCAAGTTATAATACATAATATGAAGCAACTCAAAGTTTCAAACCACCGAATGGAATGCTAAAGCTCAAAACGACTGGTCGGATCATTACATTCTCCCCCATTTAAACATATATTCGTACTAGAACGTGCCAAGAGTCGTTCCAAAGCCATCAAATCGCCATATAACCTCACCATACACATAATCATGGAGATATATATATCACTATATACCAGAAACAAGAAGACCATAACCAAGGCACAATCAACTATTCAACATCCCAAGAGCAATCTCGCTCAAATTTCGCTACAAAGCGCAAACATAACCGCAGCGTATGTAAATAGTCAACAGTACCACAACCCGTCTTGACATAGGAGAGTAACTCATAGAACACATCAGAACACGAATAAGGTCAACTCTAACCGATGACACCACCTGCTACAATAACTGTGATGAGTACACAAGTCTAGCCCGGTGGAGAATATACATTCTCATTAGGCCTACCAATTAATTTTGGTCCTTCCAAAATGTGAATAGCCTCCGAAAAGCCCACAATGGCATATCTATAGCACATCATCAGTCGCCAACCTCTTAGCATACCTTTACCGTCTGCAACCATGGAATAAGTTGCCTCTGAAAAACTTCTTAATCCATCGCTACTGTAAAATATGTATGTTGAAATACTAAAGTCGTCCAACAATGAAAAGTCAATAATATTTACCAAAAGAAATCTCAAAAATAGCGAGAAATTTAAAAATAAATGTAAATGATATTGTGACCATAGAATCGCTTATGAGCTACCAAATCCCTCTTGAAGTAATTGCTATCGAAATGCTTGTTGCACTCTATACACTTGGGTTGGTCTCGGGCGGGCAGATTACAGGGGAGTGATTCTCTTTCACGTTTATTAAGTGCATTGTAGTTTGTAATTTTCATTCCATACAATAATGTCAAGATGTGAAGAATTTTTAAGGGCTTTAAATATTGTGACCCGTAGAGAAATGGTTTACGGTGAAATTGTGCAAAATTTTGATGTAGTTTCTATTTCTTATGCTTCTATTATATAGATTATAATTTATAACAAATTTCGATGTTTCATTGAATCCAAAATCTCTAAATGTAAATCTTTTCTAAATATATTTATTTAGCCAGTAAATACGCAAAAAGAATAAAGGGCTTTTTTCACTTTTAACCCGCGCCAAAAAGTATTCACATTCGGTAGCCGAAAAAATATATAAAATTTAAATAATTTTTTTATATAACATACGATATATATATATATATATATATAGAAATTCAATTTCTTGGAAGAAACTATTTAGAACCTTTTTTTGTTTTCCAAACAATGAAAAAACTTGGAATAGTTTTCAGTATTTTGAAAAACTAAAATAATTTAATTCTAGGTGTTTAGTTCAGAAATAGTTTACAACAAAACACGTTGTCCCAACAAAAGAAAAAGTTTCCTCTTTACCAGCACTAATACTTTAATTACAACAGTTTCATTTGCACCTAAAGCCTACATAAAGAAGGGCAGAGAGCAGAACCTCACTCCCATGCTATCATCCATATAGCAAAAAATTTCAAGGTCTACATCTCACTGTATTCATTTTGCATTTACTTGGCAAAAGTGTAGAAAGGATATTTCCAGTAGCTCAGGCATACATTGTAAAGAAGGACTATTCTCAATTGCCAACGTAGTCATTTGTCGGTTGAATCTGAAGAAGAAAACTCTATAACTATAATCCCCGTCGATATCCAATGGGGACTCAAAAATCAAGTGTATGATTCTGAAAATCATATCACCAATGAGCTAAATAATCTTATTTATCATCATCATCATCCTCCTCAGGATCAGCAGCTTGAACCTCAGTGTGTCGCCGACTCTATACCAGCTAATCAAGATCTAAACTCTTTTTCATCGATTCATACACGAGATAAGTTATGCTTGCTGCTGGTACAACTTTTAGAAGATTTGGGAAAAGTCCTTTGTAGAAGCCCCTGAAACCTTCACGCTGAAGCGTTTTGCGGAACACATCAGACATACCTTCATATGCAGCATCAGCTTGCATTCTAGCAAGAATACAGATTAAGAGAAAAAGAACGGCCATCACATGATAAACCGAGAGCTACACGGTCCAAATAGGAAAAAAAAAATCACAGTTGTTGCACCCCAAGAATCTAAATGCAGATTTACCTGGTTCGAACAACCTGCAAAGGATAAACACATGTTGCTCCGAGGGCTCCTGAAATTGTCCCACAACCCAGCTGCACGAGAGGGCCGGCTTCTGCATCAAATGCACAATTCTTAGAAAAATTACATTTCATTATCTTGGAGAAAATAGGTAGTAGCAATTGAAAAGGAACAAGTTAAAGAGCCGTACCACTATCATGAAGAATATAAATCTTTGACAAATCCTTTAAAGTCTCATAGGCAGCCAAATCAATGCCTGCATAAGGGATGATTCCAAGTAACGATGGAACCAATCCTCTATAAAATGCTCGAGGTCCCTCCTGTACCCAAATATCTTTTGATAGTTTTCGCAGATTAGGAACCTTTCCACCCTCACATGCATGAGTCTGTAATCGAGTTTTAACGAGATCCATCGGATAGATAGCAGTTTGTGCTACTGCACCTGCCATTCCACCCGCCACAAGACGACCAGAAGTTCCTATATCTCTTTGGTCTTGACCCTTGGCACGACCAATAACATTTTTCAAGGTTTCATAAGCGTAGAACTTGATTGCACTTTCAGGTGCAACCTTCATCACATTTAACCCATTGCCACGGAAAAACCCCAATAAACGACCTTCCTTCCATATGCTTTTGACTGCAGGACCAATTGAAGCACGAGTAGTCTGCACTTGTAAAATGACCTTTAGGCGATCAAGAGGTGCTGTGGCAGTACGAGAAGCAGCTCCTGCAACACCCCCTGCGATCAGGTATTTGGATGCATGAACATGCTTACTGATGCCTTCCGGAATGACTGCCTGCTCCCCAATATCAACAAGACATACCCTCTCCAAGTATTGGTAAATATTCTCAATTGTGGCCTCATGCGGATAGAGTAGAAGAAAATCCCTCCATTCCTCAAAAGTGATAATTCCATTATTATCTTTATCCACATGCTCCACAAAACGTGCAAGTTCATCATCATCTAATTCTATTCCTGCAAGAAAGAAACTGCCCTAGCTTATAAGAGGAAGACAACTAAAGAAATGGAAATGTGTATGGAGAACTCTTCTAGCCAGAAAAATAGATTCTGAAAGATGGGAATCACATAGCAAAATAACTGAGGAATAGCAGAGGAGAAATTAGCATGTAGATATTAAATGGATGAACTAATTTGTTGTGCAAACCCCTTTAACGGGCCACCCGTTTATTGAGGAAGCATGAAACTAAAAAAAATACTTGTTCCGCAGACGGAGAGAAAAATGGACCAGGAGAGCGGGGTAACTTAATACATGACAGGGAAGCCAAAATATACTGAGAAGCCGTAAGCTTTGTGTCACAAAATTTAACAAGGCCAATCAGTAACATAAATTACAGGACAAAGTATCAACAGAGTCATACAGAAAACTAACAATAATAAAGCAAATTTTCTGAATCTGTTAGAAAAATGGACATAAAAAGAAAAGGAATTATGACAAGAAGCACCGTTTGAAGGACTTAATTGTCAGGCACCTTACCAAATTTCTTGCACAAGAAATCTCTCAATTTCCCAAAATTAATTGGGAAGCTCATACAAGGATAACACTTTGTTCTACCCTGCAAATTCAGGACCAATTAAGCTCGAATAGAAGCGCCATTTGCATTGAAAAAGTTTTTAAAAATCAAATATCTAACATCTTGTATGGTTTGGAAAAAAATCTTGTTTTTGGAAGAAAAAAAAACAACCAAAAAAGCTTTTCAAGAAACAAAATTAATTTAAGCACAACAACCAGTTGAAATTAAGGATCAAACCTTATTGGTACACTGACAGTAGTCCCAAGTTTATCAAATGTCTTTTTAGTTAGTTTAGAGATTTGTGAGTCAGTTCGGGATAAGCACGAGAGTTAGAGAATCTCTACTATTTGAGAACATTTATTTTAAGAGACAAATTATTGAGTATTAGAGTGAAACCGGCCCAAATGAAGCCAAATGGGTATGGAGCAAGGCCTATAGTTGTGTTGTTTTGTTCATTATTTTCAAAAACCGATCGATACACAATTAATTTGCCCGATGCTTACATAAGTTGTTTCAAAAAAACAAACCAGAAAATTATCCAAACACCATCTCTTGACCCGATTATGCTGCCAGCTTCATTACATAACTGCAATCTAAAACTCATCTAAGCCTAATTCTTTGTCTAGAGCACGGGAAGGAAAGAAAGAGTTGAAAGAACTAATTTCATTGTAAAGAACATAATGTAACTCAGTATATGCGTTGACAATCTACTCTGCATATATTTCCAAATCTAAGAATTGTAAAGATTCCTCGAGCACTATTCCATAAATAGCCATATCTGAATCCAAATTAGCAACTAGAAAAATTGATTTAGTCACAGGTACCACAAAAGAAATGCAAGAGCATCATCAAATCAGACTAACAGCGGTGAAACAGTAGTAGCTGAATTGAAGAAAAATCAGAAGCCATCTGAACTTAGAAAAGTGAGCACCTTGGTGCCGCAAACAAATAAACATTAACATCGTGCTCATTCGAAAGCAAAAAACAACTAAAATAGCATAATGCATCATTTTGCTCTGAAGTGATTTTACACAGATGTACTCATTTTACCTTGTTTAAACTGCATTCAAGTGTATCACAATGACAAGTCAGCTAAGAAGGGCAACTTATCCCACTCAAAAAAAAAGGATAACAAGGATTATGATAATCAAGTGATAAGGTATGATGAGCAGATAACTTGCCCTCATAAATGTCACCAAGATACTTATTCCAAAACTACAACAACAACCCAGTATAATCCACTAGTGAGGTCTGGGGAGGGTAGTGTGTACGCAGACCTTACCCCTACCTTGGGGTAGAGAGGCTGTTTCCGATAGACCCTCGGCTCCCTCCCTCCAAGAACTCCTCCCCACCTTGCTCTTTGGGTGACTCGAACTCACAACCTCTTGGTTGGAAGTGGAGGGTGCTCACCATTAGAGCAACCCACTCTTGTCACTTATTCCAAAACTAAAGGCTTCAAATATCATCTTACAAGAGAAATTGATGATACCAGTTAAAGAAAATGCCATAAGGTTGGGATTATAGGAGTAATTCTTTTTGTTGCCATTCTCAAAAAAAAAATGCCATAAGGCAAGGAACTTATGACTTCAGAAATCAAATCGCATCTACTGGATAAATGAATAATGAGATTCAGTGTGGAGGAAGATAGATTGCGGCAGCCTCTGATTGCAGCCAACACAGAGTCGAAGCTCAAATATGGTGCACGAGAACAAGTTAGGGAAACAAATCCCCTACACAATATCTGGTGCTTATGTAAGGAATAAACTAGGAGATAATATGAGGAAAAATCACTTTTTGATTGTTTTTGATGAATAGCCTGTTTGGACAAGCTTCTAAAATAAGCCTATTTTGAGAAGTGTTTTTTCTCAAAAATACTTTTTCCATAAGTGCTTTTGGCGAGAAACAGTTTGGTTTGGTTAATTAATTTGAAAACACTTCTGAACAGCAATTAGTGATTGGCCAGCTTTTAAAAAGTGCTTCTAAGTGTATTTTTCTCAAAAGTGCTTTTCAAAAAAGTGTTTTTAAGAATAAGCTACTTTTTTCGCTTCTCCAAAACTGCTTCTGCTTCTACTCAAAAGTACTTTTTTTCCTTCTAAAAGCTTGGTCAAACGCTACAACTTAGGGGAAAAAAGCTTTGGGTTTGGAGAAGCTTGGCCAAACAGGTTATAAGTCACTTCTTGATTGTCGTGCAGATTTTATACCATAATTGCTTGCACACCTTTTTTTGTATGTGTAATCAAGGCGATGTAAATGGCTTATTGAATTTTATTAATTTCTAAAACTCCATAGACTTGTAATTTCATAAAGTTATGGTAGCACCCTTGTGGGGCCCTCATACTGTTGTGATTAAAGTACATTATTCATCAAAATACAAATAAATAAACTGAGAAATGCCAAACCAGACTAGTGGATNCCCCACCCCACCCGGGTAAAGAGGCTCAACAATTCAGCCACCAATTTCAGAACCAAATTCAGCAAAATGCCAAGAACGGAACCACAATCTCCAGTGCCCCAGAATTAGCCACAAAAAATACTTAAATATCCAGATCTAGGAAAATTTACAAGATGAGGAACTTATGAAACAAACAAATTAATTTGAGATGCAAGCTTATCATGAAACTTTTTATTTTCCTAGTCTCAACAGCTAGTATCAGAGTGAGAAGAGAATTTTGTATAGGGATTGAAGATGTGAGCATCATTGATACATCCAAGCATAGATGCATATTCGTTCTGTTCACATATATGGGTATTAATGCCTAATGTCACTATTCATACTTACAGACAACTATTCAAGCACAAGACACTGTTCACTGTATTTGTTTTGAAATTTTAAGAATAAAGTGTAAGGTGGACAGGTGTTTTCAAAGGCGAAAAGCGAAAAAAGCATCAAGGTTTTTCGGGGATTTAAGCGTAAAGCGCAAATAAAGCGTTGGCTTTAGTGAATAAGGCGCAGTGAAGAAGAAAACAAAACAAAGTTTGATAAGGAAAAAAAAAAGATAAAAAATATATATGTAACTCAAGAATAATAATTATATGCATAAATAACACATCGAAATTTGAAAATTTTTACTACTAAGTGAAATATTTATTAGTTAATGTCGGCTCTTCAGGACAAGGCCCATTAATGATGAGGCATGTGCGGTGCGCCTTGGTATTTGCACCAAAGTGTCGGCTAAGTGAAGCGCTAAGACTGTTTTGCGCCAAGCTTCAGAGCTTAAGCGCGCTTCAATTGAGCCTTTGACAACACCGAGGTGGACAGGAAATATATAATCCCTATATGCCTAATCATTTGTGAGATTACGATGGATAGAAGATGATGAGATCCCTCTACTACGACTTGACATATCTACTCAACGACAGAGGTTTATACAGTGGTGCAACTAGTGGAAGACGTGTTCGAATGTGATGTCGAGATCGCGGAGAAAATTTCCAGATTAAGCTTCTTAAGAGGAAAAGTTCGAGTACTGCAACACAAGAAAGTTCTACATAAGAGCTAGGTGGAAGGAAGCTTGGTGCATTAGGTACATGAGGAAAGTTTCTTCTTTTGGTAGTAAAATCTCTCGATGATACATGAGAGTTGAGACTTACATGTTGATATTGGTGCAACAAGTGCATAATTTGAGAAGGATTTTCCACGTAAAATCTCGGTTTCATTCATTTGTATATTCTCATTAACTAACTGTGGTTATTTTTCCTGTGGGTATCACTGGACTCAACAAGAGGTATCAGAACACTGCACACTGACATGCCACAAACTTCCAACAAGTCCAGCTTGGCAGCTGATCACTTAACTTCAACTTGCGCAGCAAAGCCATTCAAGGTTCAAAAACTTCCAAAAATGAATCTGATCAAACAATCAGGACTTATCACACTAGTTCTAAGACCTCAACAATGCAAATTCTCATAAGATAGATTTTTGTATTCCTTTTATGAACCACAACAGACAGTTCTACATCCACACCACTTATCCTCCCAATGATTAAAAAAAAAAAAAGCAGTATCATAACTACTCCCTCCCTTTCATTTATATGTTAGTAAGAGATTTTTGAATATTGTGGTCTTAAACTTAAGATGTGTATAATGCACCAAAATGCCCTTTGAATCTTGTGATCTTAAACATGTCATAGTCCATACTGGAATTAAAGAGTTACTAATTATAGGAAGTGGCATTCTTTTCTAAACAAACTAAAAAGGAAAGTAAGACACATAAGCTGAAACAGAGAGAATATTCTATGAAACAGGAACTTAAAGGGCTTAAAAAGAATTGACAGTAAAAGTACCAGCTTTTACAAGGGCATCCCACAGTTCTTCAGGCAAGATGCAACCATTATGCTCCACATCAATAGCCTCAAAAATCCCATACAGTTCCATTTCTTTATCATCCATATATTTTCTAAACTCCTGATAATCCACCCTCCCATCCTTATTAGCATCACATGCCTTCAATAATTCTTTAGCAAACTTATATNTCACATGCTTTCAATAATTCTTTAGCAAACTTATATTCAGCTGGAATTTGCATAGCAGACAAACCCTTTTCGATTTTTACATAATCCAAGTAGCCCGCATTGTCCGAATCGAAAAAACTGAACAAACTTCTGATTCTTGACTCCCTTTCTTCTTTGGTCTCACCTAGTGCTGATAAAACATGGTCCATTGAAACCGGGCCGGGGTTCTTCACCGGGTTGCAACATCCGGGCCGGTCCTTTGTACCCATTCCCGGAAAATTCACATGCTCCACGGCGGCCTTTCCAGCCACTGACATGCCCAAATATTGGTTCTGGATTTCTTTACAGCATATGCAAAAAGATTGATTTTTTTTTATGGATCTTTTATAATTATAGATCTAATAGGGAAAAAAGAACGCTACTTTGAAGAAATAGATTGCTTACAGTGAGCAAAAGGAAATGGGTGTTATTGGAACTTGGAAGAGGGGAGAAGAAGAGAATATTTGTGGAGGATCTTCTTTGAGAGAGATCCGATTAATTGACCCGGTTTGCTTGTAGTTAGTTTTCGGGTCAAATTTTGAAGTTTCTTTCTTATGTATAAAAAAGGTCACAAATTTGTGCATCACGTGTTTATTCCTAATTAAATAATTAATTTTAAGAATCAATAAATCAAAGTAAAAATATACATATATCTTATATTTATTGAATTGGCATAAATACTTGATGTGTGCTAACTAATTTAAGATTAAAATATATAGTTTTCTTTTTCTTCAAGTCAAACAAAAAAGAAGAAAAAATCAAATGGCCGAGTTCACACAGATGCATAAATGGTCAATTTTAATTTTTCCAAAAGAGTGTGGAGTTTTCTTGATGCTTTCCTTTTCATGCCGTAATTCACAAGCTCAGTTTCGAAACTTTCTTACCGAAAAAATTATAATATTAAAAAATGTTTACCCATATTGCATTTTGGTGTTATATATATTCCAAAAAATTGTGTATGCATTTTATCTCATATTATGATCCAAAAGAAGACTTCGAATTTCTCAACTATAAAACTCCTAACAAAAAAAAAAAGGAATTATAAAGTTTTTATGGAAAGTATATTTCTCAATTGGAATTAGCAAAATATACTGATGAGAATTAACCGGATGTTTACCATGAGACTGTACTGAAAGTTACTAAAACATATAGCAAAAATCAAATCCGATTATATCGGGCAAACCATCGACTCTACAATCTACATTGGAAAATTAAAACGCTAAGAGTATTAAAATATTATTAAGGAAAAAAATAATTTTCTATTACACACGTTACACTTCTCCTCGTAAACAATTTGTCTTTGAAACATATGAATAATGAAGAATTAGCTTGACTAATAACAACTTGTTTGGATGGCTGTTACCAATTGTATTGTATCGTCTTGTTACTTTAGATATAATGTTTGTTTTAATTGTTACTTACTAAATTTTATTGTATCGTATCGTTAAATGCATCGTTATATAACGACGAAAAGTGTCACTTTATGGAACGACAGATTTGGCGTGGTGTGTTGTTACTTTGCCTTTTTCTCTCATTTTACCCTTCCTTATTATTAAATAATCATATTTTATCATTTACCTTACTTTTTAATACAATAATTCTACTATGTATCATATTTTTCCTTAGTAATGTTACAAGTCAGATGCGTATCCAAAATTTTGACAGGATGGGTGCACTATTAAGAAGAGACGGATCCGGAATATAAATTTTGTGGGTTCAACCTTTAGTTCTTACGATTGCGCACCCATTACACTTTTGGAATTATAAGTTCAATTTTTTTTAAAATAGTAATTTTCTTACATCTATATCTATTTTTCATATTGAAAATATTGGGATCAGTTGAACCCATTGACTATATGCTACATCATACACTACTACTAGTTATAATATACATATTTTGTTTAATCATATAAGATTTTACAGCGACAAAAGAAGAATAGGAATTTCAATGTGTGAAAAATTTGAAGAATAAATCAAACAAAAAAGAAATAAAAAGAAAAAATACTTAATTAATACGCAAAAAATAACGCCACACACGCACATCTCCCGTGGGTGTCTAGTTCTAGAAAAAAGAGAGAGAAAAAAAATAACAAGATTGATATAAGATTTGAACTCACAACCTCACCTAGAGAGATACACCCAATAACCATCATATCATAAGTAATACTTTGAGCATGGATGCACACACATATATTTAAAAAGGAATTAAAAAAATATACCATTACTATACATGATTTAGGGAGGGGAGCATGAGTTCATGTGCCCGATGTAAACCCCCTAGATACGCTCCTTTTACAAGTTTATATTTAATACTATTAGTGCGGGACACCATGAAACGACGACAAACGATATAATCGATTCAAATATTATATTTCTTAAACAATACAGTACAATACATTATAAAACGACATGTAACAACGACCCAAACAAGTTGTAAGAGCTTTCTGGATTAAAAGCTAGTTTTATTTCTCTTTTCCACAAAAAGAGAAGATCGCCAAGAAAAAGATGAAACGCCCAGTTACATCGACTAGCATTAATTTAGCTTTGTTACAAAGTGTGAGAGTCGTGCAGAAAACGCAGCAACAGTGGACCAATGGCAGGATTGCAGATGGCGTACAACGTGCTAAACGCTTTAGGTGTAATAAAGACGATATTTTTCGCAACAACTCGGTCCTAATTATTTGAGCTCTTAATGTCAATTTTCATTTTAAATTGTGATTTTCCAACCAACTTGCCCGTACCAAACGGACACATAAGTAAATCGCTTAATACTTTTGCAGTTTAAGAATAGTAATCCCATAATAGAATTTGTAATTATATCTATCCCATATTTGATTATTGACTACTAGTGTTTAAGGGATAAATTTTATATCAAATGATAGCATTAGTTATCCCATATACAAAGTGAAATAACTAATCCTACGGGATAATCCAACCATGAGATATTCTTTTCCATCCCACAATTGAACCACAACCTCTTACGGCTTGTTTGGATGGTTGTTATGTATTATTTCATAATGTATAGTATGGTATTATATTTTATTGTATTATATTGTACTGTACAGTATCGTTTTGATATATACAATGTTTGGATAGATTGTATTGTTTGCCGTCGTTTCACGATGTCATGCACCAATAATATGAAAAATAAACTTGCAATATAATAAATAAAAAAAGGTAAAGTACGAGGTAGAATTATTACATAAAAAAGTACGATAACAAACAAAATATAATTATTTAATAATAAGGAAGAGCATCAAATCGGACGTTGCATAAAGTGGAGCTTTTCGTTGTTATATAACGACAAATTTAATGATATGATACAATAAAGTTTTAAAAAAAATTAAAACAAATATTGTATTTAAAATAATAATACTATATAATACGAGTTGTTAATGTCGGCCTGGCCTCCCCAATCACTTAATGATATTTTATTTACTAACCACTAAATCACACTAGCAAGGAAAAAGTGGTTCTAAGATATAACCATCAAGACAAAGTAGTTGGAGTAGTTAAAGATCTTTTATCAGTATGACTACGAGCTAACAATATTAATTCCTGGTTAACTTTTCACCTTGAAAAAGTCTCCCTAGTGCACTTCCATTATTCACTAGAGGCTTGTTATATTCTGCAAATGAGAGTCATTTATCATGTTCATATGTGTTGACCATGTCAAATACAGTTGAGAAACAAAGCTATTGGCTGGAAAATAATTACTACTAACAAACACCAATCTTTGTTGCAACAATCAATAGCTGTTGAACATGTGACCATATAGAGCATGCAAAAAAGCGCGTTATACGGTATTTAACAAGACAAGAAGATCTCCATCTGCATTTAGTTTGTTGATCAAACCTCTTCCCATGGATATTGTCTTATCTTAAACACCATCTAAAGCCTGATTCAGGCTTTTTCTCAAAGGCAGATACAACTGAATTAGCTTTGGACGAAGTTGAAACTCTATACAAATACTCTTAAGGAAACAAAGTATTCACTATCCGATATACAGACATGCTATGCCATAGGTAGCTAGAAAAGCAAGAGACTATATCACCCCATACACTAAAACACCTTCAGTTAAACTGTGCAAAAGTTTTGCATCAGCACCAAGGACCAACTTGAACCGACAAAATCTAGCTCACATTGTATATTATACCGGTCACCAGAAATTGGACTGAAAGAACTTCACATTAGAATAGATTCATACCCTTCCTCTCTTCCGCTCCGACTTTGAAAAGTTACAGCTGCATGCAGCAACAAGTGCTGCAATTCCAAACCCTGCTATGGCCCAAACAGCATTATGTAATATTACAATTTCACCAGTCTGCAGAAACAAAGGAACGGCAAGTTTAGGATCTTTCACGAAACTTGAGAAAACAAAAATAAAAGGCAGCCCAGTGCACAAAGCATCTCACAATCACGCAGGTCCTAGGAAGGGTCACACCCCAAGGGATGTGACGTAGTCAGCCTCCCCTAATGCAAGCATTAGTGGCTGCTTCACACAAACTTGTGAAAACACCATTGACATAATAAAATGAATGTCAGAAAGATAAATTGTATTTTTTGGATGTAATTAACATGAACCAAGATCTTACGCTGTCTGTAGAATGCAGGATAGAGCTGCGCTTTTGTGACGGTTCAGCAACCAAAATATAGAAGAGGCCCATAACTCCTGTATGCCTTTGGGCACTGCTATACTTTGATACAAAAGTAAGAGTTTCTCCCTTAGATATCTTGACAGAGCCAGGCTTCGGATAACAAGTGGACATCCCAACAATATAACCAGCTTCATTTCCTGGTTCCTTTCCTTCCCCGTAGATTGGAAGCGACGAGCATATAACCCGTTCATCCTAAGCAAATTGAGCAGAGAACAAAAAAGAATTTATCATTCGCATATGTTTTCCTTTGCAGTACTGAAACAATCACAAGAACATCAAGACAAACTCAAAAAAGATATGTGACACATCATTATCTTTAAACCTTCGCTAACCATAGTACTGAAACAATATTGTGAAACGTCAGTAAGCATAGATACCATATTTAGCGGAAGTAGGGAGGAAACAGTGCTGCATAATTTCCCTACAAAGTTACTACAGATCAATGAAAATAGTCATAGTCATACAGCTTTCCCCAGCCATTTAAGAGGAGGGCAAGCAATGGTTTTACCATCTCTAGGTTCTAGATAACAATTCGCAAACTTGTTTTGTAACATAAACAAGCAGAATATTTGAATTATCTTTATCACCTAAATACATTTGAAGCAGGAACTATTGAGATTGTGAAACATGTTTAGATAGAGTCCAAAGTTACATGCATCATTGAGAAAGAATTTATCCTACGAAACCAATTAGAAATACGGAGAGTCACGCAATAAACTAGATCCTAAGCTAACAGGATCAAGGAAACA